CCACTGCAGCTGATCTCAGACCCCTACGGGTTTCAGCAGTTAAGCCATGGAAACATTTTTGTTAATGGGAAAGAAAAAGCTGTACTCATCCTAGCAGTTTAAATCTGATAAGCAGCACCTTAAAAGAAAAATCATACTGCAGTCTAAATATGCTGTCTTCACCTGAACATCACATCCTTTCTGCCTTTTAACCTCAAGCTAAATTTAACCTCAATTTGCCTTTAAAAAAGGGGGTTGAAAGTACTTTCAGCCATAACATCAGCTGCCAAACCCTATGTTTAGTTATAATCACATATATGTTTGTGTTATGTGTAGTATGTGCAACAAAAATGAGACTCCACTGTGTAGGGTGCTGTACAAAAGTATAACGTAATTGTAATGAAATTCTTCACGGAAAGCACATCTTGTGTAGTGTGTAAAGTGTTGTGGTGTGCAAGTGTTTTGGGCTAAACACTGCCAATGATTTTCCATCTGCAGATTTGCATTATGACCCAGAGAGCTCATGGAATTAACCTAGACGGGGCCAGCACGAAGCACCAGAGTTTGCTCCCCAGCAGCTAACCTCAGTGCTGCATTGCTCAAGAGTTCTGCTGTTATTATTACTTACGAGCATTATTACTTACCACCAATAGACACACAAACACACAGAAGGAAAAAAAGAAATCTCACATTGCTCTCGCCTAAAGCCCAAATCACTTTTATTTGTTCACCCTGCTTCCAACCGGATCTGGACAAAGTGGCCTTGTCTAGCTGCTAGGCAACCCGAATGCTGCGTTGAGTATTAACTGTATGCATTTGCTAAGAACATAATAATGTTACCTTTGAGATTTATTTATAGTATAAAACATCTACCTAGCTGAAAATATAATAGCTTTCCTTCAGTAATCAGTAATTAGTAACTCCAGGAATACACAACTGTTGGGTCAAGAAAGAAATAATCCACATATACACCACAAATGCAGAGAGATATTACAAACTGGGTCCTTACAAATATAAGGGAGATGCTCTGTATGAAAGTATTATTACAGATGGTGGTGGCATAAAAAAATTCTAATCCAAGAATTATATTTATGTAGATATTCGAATATCTACATAATATATGAAAATATTTATGTAAGTAATGTTTTAAATTAGAAATGCTTAAATTACAACACCTCATCCAACTACAAAATTAACTTTCTTAGTAAAGGTCATTTATTCTACTTACATAAAGCCATCATTCCTAAACAAGACAGAAAAGACTTGAAATTAAAACACAGTCAACTGATCTTGGAGTTCTTTAAAGAAAAAAAGCCAACAACTTACAAGACATTATTTCACACAACCCCTCTCCGGACCATTTTACTGTTTTGTTCTCTACCAGCAGAGCTATCATTCTACCTTAAAAACATGATGAATGTCTTTGCTATTTCTCTTTCCTCTCAAACTCAAGAGATATCCCTTTCAAGTCTTTTCAAAGCAGATCATTTCCCAGACTGCTCGATTACTAGCACAACTGAGAGGACTTCTTAAAATATCAGTTTGGGTGATCGAGGTGTTCATGTCAACAAAGCAAGAGGCCCACTAATGACATCAAAATTAAACAGAGCAGCACACTTTTTTGATCATACCATTTCACAGTTTGTCAAATCCTGGTTCACAAAATAGGGAGTTTCTCAAACTCAGCACAAACACAAAAGCTAGTTCTCTACCTTAAAAATGCTTACCAATTTCTACTGGAGACACTAACCACGAGACTGGCCAGAAAGACATTTACTGACACAGTGGCACGCTGTTAGTCTTTATGTGCAGCTGCTTGGCACTTCAAGCTGTGTGAATTTTTCTTAACTTTAAGAAAACCCAAGGAGCGTTTTGTAGCTGGGGTCCTACACCCAAATATTCTGCTCTTCTGTTCACCACAAGCAAAAGTCAATGCAGAAAGCCCCACTGATCACTGATCAGTCTGGATCACAGCACAGCACAGCCTCCCCCTGGCTTGAGATTTGTAGGACACAAAACAAGGTTATTTGTGCAGAGCCCTTGTGGCAGACCTCCAGTCTGCCACAGCTGCACACACTTCAGAGCTGCACAAGCACCCATGAACTGAAAGAGACCTGGCTCTGTGGAGCAGAGAATATTAGAGGTTCCTAGAAGTGTTCCTCTCTGGGTTTTATAAAGACTTTTGAAGTGTGCCAAGTTTCAGCATCCGTGGACAGGAATGACTCTCACACATTGATGCAATGCACAGTCAGTTCCCTTTATTGCTCCGCTTGCGTGGTTATATACATTTTTCCATATCTGTACACACGATCACGCTTATTCGGATAGGCTACAGACTTCAATCACGCGCTGCTCACGCACCCCATATTCCCTTATGATTGGTAACTATGCACTAGCGCTAATAGCAACAGACCGCCTCCATGTCCTTGAACACATCTTGTTTTTGCTAACCCACATCATGTGCACTATCAGAACTTTCTCAATCGTTATTCTTAGCTGCCCTTTCCAGCGGCCTGTTCAGTTATGCGAACTGTTTTGCTTAAGTGGCCTAGTCATGCTAACTCGCAAGCTACATCAACCCAAACATCTCCCCCCTTTTCTTTCAATAAAAGGCTAAGCTATCTTAGCATTGCTTTAAAAACATTTGCTCAATTGGTGTTAGTTGCATTACACGAATTTTTTTTTTCCAGTTGCCTCTAGTGCCTTTTGTGTTATGCATATTATACATGGAACCAATATAATCACTGCTTCTACAGAAGTGGTTAACTTAAACACTTGTACTTTCTCCTCCTTCACTTAGTTTCACAATACACCTGATTCAGGTCAGACTTAACATCAAGCTTAGGGGGAGTATAATTTTAAAAAATGTCAACATTACTGGAAAGTTGCAAGTCAAAGCAAAGTGTTCAATGGAGCTACAGGGTCCCACACTCACAGAAACTCAATAGTAGCTGTAAATCATTTAAAAAAGTAATTGGTAGATGGGTTGGTAAGAAAACCCTCCCTACACATAGGAACACACAGTTTTGGTATACTAATGGCCCCCACTACTGCTACACATCCCCTGAAGAATACATTGAAATTACAAGTTTAGTCTCAGGACAGGCAGGACATAAACAGGTTCAAATACTGTGTTTTTTACAGAGGTACACACTTAATGCTTTTGTTAGGGTCCTTAAATCATGACTCGCATCAGGGATCCACGCAAGGAGCACAGAAAGAGAGAAGAAAAGAGCACAAGTCACACTGGAAACTTTCAAACACTTGCACGAATCTTTTATTGAAAACAAATTTTAAATCAACAGTGTTGTTGGTAACTCCAGAGTTACAGGTCCTACGGATAACACCCTCTGAGGAATCCACCCGACATCTCTTTTCATAGGAAGTTTAAGGTTATTAAAGCCTTTTTCCCCCAAAGCCTCCAAATAGGTTTAACTAAACTTATTGCTTAATTCATTTTAAACCCAGTATCTTTGCACAAAATCAAGTATTTCATAGCGCTTTCTGTCTTGCTTTTACACAACTTATTAGTGAATTTCATGTTCGGAGATTCAGACAAACCAGATGGACATCTTTAGTTGCTCATGGGGCCTTAAGTCCCAACACTCTTATTACACAAACGCTAAATTAAATTAAACAGTTTCATGCCAGGTTATCTACATTCATTTCAATGCCAGGATTTTGCAACATGAAGAGGATCTTTCATTAAATAATGTGTTGTACCTTGTACCTGGCAACACAGAAATATAATGAATGATATTGTTGCAGTTAAAAAAAAAGTTCCTCATTTTAGATTCTATTTTACTGTGACTATTCACAATCATCACAGTGTGATTATTATAATATCACATTTAAATACAATAATTACAGATTCATAATAAATCAAGTGTGTATAGATCAATTAGAAGACTACGCTCGTAGCCAGGGCAGGGTTTGGGTAGAAACACTATACAGTTTTAACTTTTCAAGCCTGAACTTTAAGCTTAACTTGTGGGAGAAACCACTACGTAGACAGCTACTTTGAGTTAGTGAGCTAACTCCTCTGAAATTCTTTAAGAGAATATTAGCTCCTATCTTCTGCTTGAGATTTTTTCTTTTCATGCAAAGCAGAAGAGAATAATCTTGCAAACTGGAATTCCAGCTGGAGCCCCATGGTACTTTAACACACAGCAATCTGAGCCTAGGTTTTTTAAACCCACTCAATAATTCACTGGGACACAGAAGAGTTTAAGCATCATCAGGATAAATTGCATTCACACTTTAGGCTTTAAGTCATTTGCCAGCAAGTAGAATAAAAGAAAACACTTGCTTTTCATAAAAAAGAACATCATGAGCTACTGACACAACTGCTTGCAGCTCAGGAACTTTTTTTTTTTTTTTTAAACGGGGCTAGGATGCTGCAATTCAAAAAGGCTGAAAAGGTTCCATGACTGGGTGTTGGAGCAGAGGAAGCCTCCAGCTTACCTGCACAAGTTCTCTTCCCATTTGATCTACTCAGAAGTCAAGCCAGCAGAGGTGGTTTGAAGCATACCTCTACCCTCCCCCTGAGGAATCCTGGATGGATAAAGCGAGCTGGCTTGGCGCTGCCGACCAGGCACGTGAGTTGCAGGGAGATGCAAGTACCTTTCTTGGAGGACGTAAGCTGACAGTAGAAACTATGCCTAGAGTTCACTCATTAAGTGTTCATTGAATTTCTTCACCTACTAGTGCTCGCTCAAAAAGTGCTACCAAAGGGCTCCAGACCTGCTTTGGGTTTGTTGCAGTTTAATAGTACACCGACTCCTGAGAAGATAGAGCAGCTGATTAAGACCGTATCAGGAGTCCCACCAGTTGAGTGAGACAGCAACACAAAGAGAACTCACTCAGCTATACCGCAGGGATACAAATGATACAGCCACACAAAACTTAGCAACAATCAAAATCTACATTAATTCAAAAATCATCTTCCAAACAAGCTACTTTTTACCATCGTATCTTTGTTGGGATTAATATAAAGCATTTTTGAAAACACTGGCACTTACCCAAATCTGCAGTTTCACCCGCTTGTCATTCCTATAAACTGTTTTCACTTTGAAGTCAATTCCTACTGTGCTAACGAAGGCTGGTGTGAAAGTGTCATCAGCGTATCTGAAGAGGAAGGATGTTTTGCCCACGCTGCTGTTGCCAATGATCAGGAGTTTGAACATGTAATCAAAATTTTGATCTGAAGTATCTTTCTGCCTGTATCTGGCATCTGTTACTGAAGCCATCTAAGAAAATGACAAACATTGAAAAAGAACAGATTTAAGAGCAGTTCAGCATTTTTTTTTCCCATAACTGTGTACCATATGTTTAGCTTATCTCTCTTCTTCCTAATATCATAACCGCTATATCTGCTGAATAAAGATAACAGCTTGAGACCTTCTTTCAAATCCTAGCTTTAAATTTCTATTACCCACTTGTACTGGTAAGATTTCCAAACTCAAGAAATACAGCTGTTGCACCACTTTGTGTTTAAAAGAATAACAGATGGCTATTGCAGATTGTTCAAATACTAGTGGGGAAACAGCATTCTTGACTGCTGTGGCAGGGTGCCACTTCTGTTCCTCCAATAAACTGGAGTACTGCGACCAAGAACTAAAATATTTGACAGTGCATCCAACTATGCAATTCATTAAGCAGCCTCCAAGGCAGGTAAACCTAGCTAATTCCTTTTACAACTACTAGGGAAAATATGCATTTCTAGCACATGCACCACCACCATTTTATCTTTAGAAAAGTTCTGTCCTCAATATTTACAGAACGAAAAAAAAAAGCAATGGGAGCAGATGAAACACCAGGAATTTCAGCTGAAAACCTTGAATCCATCCAACACCTATCTGCTCTCAAGACTGCAATTAAAATAAACAGCACCTGCATAAAACATGAGGGCTCGGTGGGGCTGCAGGCGGCATTTGGAACAGATAAATTATGCCTTTTGATTATGGGGGAGGTGAGCATTGGGGACATTAGTGGGGTGAGGAGGGGGGAAGATGCAGCCTCAGAGATCGCTCCTTCTCTTGTGACCCTGAACTGGATTCAGACACTGAAAAACAACTGCAGTGTCTGAAATCTTGAGATGGGTGGAACTCACTTGAGCAGCCCTGGCTACTTCAACTTAGGCAGCTCAGACACTCCGTGGGAGAAGGCAACCCCCTGCCTTTTTGTCTCTGTTTGTACAGAGCAGAAGACAACTACACAGACCAAATTACTACAGAGAGCAGAAAAAGGAAACTACCTTTTAATAGATACACCACACTCTTCATCTGTAATGCTGTTTCAAAATCTACCTCACGTCAAACAAGAAAAGGTCTCAGCTCCTTATAACCAGTCAGGGGGCTGTGCAAACTGCGGCAACAACAGCATAGGTTTGATTAGCAGCTACTCGTCCACCAAACTAAGACGCGTGCTACTTGTGTGCAGCGTCAGAAAGCACTGAGTTGAGACCAAAGTCTCTTCTTCCCCTGGCATGCAAAGAAATGTTACTTTACCCCTCAACTCAGATTTGTAGCCATCTTTGGGAACAAAACTCCCACCAATGTCTACTCTCACCATGGGCCCAAATACTTTCTTTCTTAGCAAGTCTCATCTGCACATGGGACTTCACCCACTGAAAAAAACAAACCAAATAGTTCAAAACTCACTGTAGTTACACAGCTATAAACCAAAAGTCTGTCCAAAGGCAATTTAAACTCAGGATGAAATTTAAGTTAAATTCCCCACACAGGGGAAACAAAACCAATCCAAGTTAAACTTCAGTAAAATATGCACAACAGTTTATCTCCATCTAAACACACGCGACTTTCTCACAGAGAAAAGGCAGCAGACATTTTGCTTACAGATTGCATTAACAAGGACTGTTTCTGAAGAACTTTAGCCATAGCTCAATAGCCAACAGCTGCACTGAGTGCTGCAAAATCTTCCCACAAGTGATACTCTGTAGGATAAAACATGATTCTGATACACGATACACACTGCTCTGAACTTCAGCTGCTATTCAGTAGGACTACAGTCCTTTGCAAGCACTCCAGAAAACCCAAGTACAAATTTTCTTCTCACTAGTGTATCAGAAAAGGGCTCTTCTACTCATGCCTTGTGGTTCTTACCAGGAATTTCTTAAATGAGGAGTTCAACATCCAGCTGACTTACACACACACACGCTCAGACCAATGCACTCACTGCCTCAGTTCAAATGTTAGAAATTATCAGCTGCAAAAATTTTGAATCCAGATGATTAGTTGATCTGTACCATCACCAAGCTGGAAGACAGCAACAAGTTCTCTATTTGAGTAATATCTCTTCTTCATACACATACATAACTTCCACAAATGCCACTGAGAACACACGTGCACTTACTAAAGAAGAAAAATAAACCCTAAAAATCTCTACTTCTCCATTCCACTCACAGAGGCTTGAAAACAGCGAGACGTCCTTATCACTTGAAGCCTGGTCATTTAAAGATTCAGAGGCAGACCTTTAACAAATAAGTATTCCACTAATCATACAGGAATCGATATCTTCTTCCTACCTCTGCCTTCGCAGAATCCATCCGTGCACTCCAAGCTGATCTTTTAAATGAAACACTGCTGCTTCCATTAACCCCCCTAGATTGCTACAATCAAAAGCGTACCTGGCTACAAATGCAACTTTCAGATCTCAGTTAAAAAAGCAATTACAGAATGCGGCCAGCTAGAGCAGCTTTGTTCGAAGCACAATGCAGAGAATAAGATCAAACGATACTTGCACAGAACGCGGGGCTGTTGTCATAGAAGCACAACACTCGCTGGCCTGCGCGTGCCACTGTGCTGCGCTGCAGATGCTGCAGGTCACCTCCTTCAGTCATTAGAGGCAGCGTCGGAGCACAAAAATTTCAAAGAAATTCCCATCCCCTTGCTTAGATTTGAGTTTTCCCTTTCCCCTCCTCTGGTCAATAAAGTGAAACTGAAAGAACTCTAGTACTAATTACTGACTACTCCTCTGATTGCAGATCATCGCTGAAGCTGTACTGCACCAGTGTTTGGGCTGAAAGCGTTCATGAGGCTGCCCCTGAATTTGTGCTTGAATCCTGAAGCCAGGAACCAGCAGACCTCTCTCCCATCTCTCCTCGCCTCTCTTCCTCGCTCGTTGTCCCACCCCTGCTCCAAGCGCTCCCTAGTTATGCCAGTCCTGAGGACCCCGTGGAGAGCTGGTTCAGAGAACAGAGAGATCCCAGTTAAAAATAAATCCTCCTACAACTTTTTGTGTTTTGCAGGGCTGTTTTTAAGGTTGGTTCAGCTCCTGATCCAGCACAGCTGAGGGAGCCAAGCCGAGGGGACCAAGCAGTGGGAAGTGATGGCAGTTGCTATGCTACTGAGAGAAAGGTCCACGAAATCACATCTCCTGCTGGCCCCCCGCGGCTGGCGGAGATTCAGCATCAGCCATGGAAGGAAAAGGCGACGACACACCGATGTCGGGCAGCTCCCATCCAACTCGTCAGAACAGCTCACACTGCCACTGCTCCCAGAGGATTTTATTCCCTCGTTGGTGAAAGGAGGTTCAGTTGGCAGTGTAACCCCCTGCTCTCTGGGTACACAGCTACATACGCTCTTTGCTTAGGATGACTCCAACCACAGCAACATCTCTGATGTTTCACAGTGATGTACAGACTAACCAGGGTTTTGTTACAGAAGACCAAGTCAAATACGACTGCCACACAGAGTGTGAGAAATGCTTGTGACTGTTTCCATTTTGACTGCCTTGGAATAATCCTCAAGAGAATACCTATACAGGAGAAATTTAGCTAGAATACAGAAAACCCATTACACGGGCAAAGAAAAAACTGCCAATCAGATTGTTCTGAGAACACTTCAATATAAGACCTTCCGTCTTTCAGTTCTTTGCCTGGGTATCCCCACTTCTTTGTCGCTAAGACCATACTAATATTGACAATCTGTTTTCCCCGTTTGCTTTAGCAATGGGAACAAGGTCTTAAATACATCCACTTCCAGTTAGTTCTGCGACAATAGGCAGTTATGTAGCTATAAGATACCTTATTATTTTGCTATTGAGGAAAAAGCCTCCAGTGTGAGCTCATCTTTTAATAGACAGAGAAACCACATAGGAGGAGAATGCTACAAATGCTCTAACGCAATAAAACCTTAGTAAGAGCTTATTAGGCACCAAAGAATACGTTCCTCAGTCAAGGTGTCTCTCCTGCCTTTATTTTCTATTTTGGTCTAAGGAAGTTTTTTTAAAAAAAAAAGGCAGCTCATCACCGTAAGACACCTCCATGGGAAACCAGTCTTCACTGCCTTCAGTACTCACTGAAATGTGTCACATAGATGGCTCCACACAGCTCTGCTCTTTAATTTGTGACCAACATCATGGTGAAGAATCAAACTGCTTTGTAGTGCAACACAAACCATCCAGTGTTACTGCTCTTACAAATCACTAAGAGTGGTCACTGCTGCCCCAGTTCTGCAGTATTTACTGCCTACAGCCAACTTCAGTGAAAAGCAGTACATGAACTGTCTGTCTAAAGCTGATGGTGTCGGCTAGAAATGAAGTGGTATATCTTGCCATCCATTTATTTCCAGAAAAAAACTACTGTTGAATTCAAGTGTTTCCAGCCTTTATCATTTTGGCCACAAACTAACGGAGGGCTGTTCTTCCCTATCCACTCACAGATAAGAAACAAGAAATCTGATCATTACCTTGAAAGTTTAGGCACCTCTGTATTAGCAATCACATGGGTCTGTTCACAGACATGGCTGTTTCCACATCCCACTCTCTCTCATAACATTACAAGGAAGAAGTCTGAATTGCCTTTGAAAAAGAAGTTCTCCTTGTCTGCGATCAGTCACCTTGGTTAACCATGAAGCATGGTCACACTGATGGAACTTACACTTCAAACTACACACGAAGATGTATCTGCAATTTCAACTTGTTACGAACCTGTGTATTCTGATATTACAAGTTCTGTGCATTTCTAACAGTAAAAAAATATTTTAATATACGTCACCACTTTATTTTTAAAGCCAAAACTGAAATTTACTACATATGTTTCTCATTAGATAGGACCAGTGGCAATTTAAATGTGACTGTTTAACTGCTTCACCACCATCCGCTAGCACATACACATTTCTTTTATCAGGCAGATGAGAAAATGGGGGTGAAACTGCCCCTCTGTATTTCTAAGAGTCAAAGATCTTCTGACAGCATGCTACTCCAGGCTGGGTCCAGCATGCATGTT